AGGTTGAAGAACTTGAATGTTAATTCTCCCATATAGACTAAACCCAGTAGCACTCTGTCACTGAGCTACATTCCCATGCAGTACTAAGAAATAATGCCAAGAATTTCTGTGTACCCTACTCAGTTTCCCCCATTGTTAACATTTTGCCAGAACCATAGTACAATATCACTATTAGAACACTTTCATTGATACTGTCAAGATGCAGAAGTCCTGTTCCTTCCACCCTATGCCTCCCTTAACCTTTGGAACCATTAATCTGTTCTTCATTTCCATTACTTAGTCTTTTCAAGTCTGTTATTTAAACATAATCATACAAATGTAACCTTTGGAAGTTGGCTTTTTTACTTTACCTCCCATGGTATGTCTATACCAGTTTGTTTATTAACTTGTTGAATGTCATCTGGGTTGTTTCTAGTTTGTGGCTATTATGAGTAAACATTTGTGCACAGTTTTTTTTTTTTTGTTTTTTTTTTTGCAGAGGTTTTTGTGTGAACTTGTTTTTCCTTTCTTTTTTTAAAGTTGTTGATAGACCTTATTTTATTTATATGTTTATATGTGGAGCTGAGAATTGAACCCAGTGCCTCACACATGCCAGGCAAGTGCGCTACTGTCGAGCCCCAGCCCCTTGTTTTTCTTTCTCTTAGATAATGCTTAAATTTCTTATAAACTGACCAATTGTTTTCCAGACTGGCTGCACCAAACTTAATATCTCCCCTACAATTTATAAGTGCTTCAGTTTTTCTACAACTTATTAGCATTTAATATTGTCACTATTTTTTATTTTAGCCATTTTGAAAAGAGTGTAGTGAGTATCTCACTATGGTTTTAATTGCGTTTTCCTAATTAATGATGTTGAACATTTTCATGTGCTTATTGGCCATCTGTATATCCTTTCTGGTGAAATGTCTTGCTCGTTTCCCAATTAGATTGGTTTTGAAGTCCTGTGTGTATTCTAGATACCAGTACTTTGTTTTTGTCAGATATGTGATTTGCAAACATTTTCTCTTAGCCTGTCTTATCTTTATAACAAATATTTAGCAGAACAAAAGTTTTTAATTTTCAATAAGTTCAGTTGGTTAGTTTTTTGTTTTGTGAATTGAGTTTTTGGTATCAAGTCTGAGGAACTCTTTGTTCCTTGTTGCGTTGGATTCTGAAGTTTTCTCTTACATTTTTTTTTTTCCTAATAGTTTCAGATGTTGGTGTTTTACATTCAAGTCTCTAATCCATTTTGAGTAAATTTTTGTATAAAACATGAGACTTAGGCTGAGATTCCTTTTTTTTCTTTTTTGCATTGATAAGTGTCCATTCATTCCGGTATTGTAAAAGCTCTGTTGCCCCATTGGATTATTTCTATATTTGTCAAAACTCAGTTGGGCACATTTGTGTGAATCTGTTTCTGGGTTCTTTATTCCATTTCATTGATTTATATGTCTTTTCCTCCTCAAATGCCATATAATCTTGATAACCAAGTTTTAGAATCAGGTGCAATGATTGTTTACACTTTCTTGACTAAATCGATTTATTTTTGTTCCTTTCCATATAAATTTTAGAATAATCTTGTCTATATCTACAATAAATTGTGCTAGGATTTTGGTAGGAATTGCATCAATCCTGTATAACAATTTTGGGAAAATGGATATGTGTTGAATCTTTTTTTTTTTAGTTGTTGATGGACCTTTATTTTATTTATTTATATGTGGTGCTGAGAATCGAACTCAGGCCGCACATATGCCAGGCAAGTGCGTTACCACTGAGCCTGAGCCCCAGCCCCATCCCTGTGTTGAATCTTTCATTCCATTAATGTGGTACATCTGTCAGTTTATTTAATAACACTTTGGTTTTTTTTTTTTTTTTGTCATTGTTGTATAGTTTTCAGCATGCAAATCTCCTGTACATGTTTTGCTAGATTTACTCCTAGTATTTCAGTTTTTGAGCAATTGTAAATAATATGTTTTTACTTTCAGTGTCCATGTGTTCATTACTAGTATATTGAAATAAAATTGAATTATTGCAAGATCTTCCAGTGCTGTGATAAATAAAAGTTGTGAGAGTGAACCTTCTTAGAGGGAAAGCATCCAGTTTTTCACCACTAAGTAGAATATTAGCTATAGGATTTTTTAGATAATTTATCAAATTGAAGGAATTTTCCTCTATTCCCTTTTTCTGGGAGTTTTTTTAAAATTTTAATTCTTGGGTGATGAATTTTGTCATGACTTTTCTGCTACAATCACAGGACTTTTCTTCTTTAGCCTGTTAATACAGTAGATTATGTTCATTAGTTTTCTAATTTTGAGCTAACATTGCATTTTTGAAATAATGTCCACCTGATCTTGCTGTAGAATTCTTTTTATTTATTGTTGAATTCCGTTGTCTGGTATTTTGATGAGGAATTTTGTGTCTGCTCATGAGGGGTATTATTTTGTAGGTTTTGAGTTTTTGTACTCTTTGGTTTTGGTATCAGAATAATTTTTCTGTTTTTACTTAAGTTATTTTTACTTAAGTCATTCTGTTAAATGATTTAAACATTAAACCAACCTTGCATTTCAGGAGTAAATATCTAAATAATCATGGTATTTAATGATTCATAATTATTGCTGGATTTGATTTGTTAATATTTTGTTGAGGATATCTTGTCTGTATTTGTGTGGGGTATGGGTTTTTATTTTTTCTTCTAATGCTTTTGTGGGGAAGTTTTCACATCAGGGTTATACTGGCCTTGAACAAGCTGGGAAATATTTCATTCTCTATATTTTTGGAAGTTTTTTGGTTTTTATTTTTGAAATGGGGTCTCACTGTGTTGCCCAGGCTGGTCTTAAACTCCTGGGCTCAAGTGATTTTCCTGTCTCAGCCTCCCAAGTTGCTGGAACAATAGTACATGTCACTATACAGGCTCCTTTTCTGAAAGTTTGTGTAAGATTGGCAGTATTTCTTCCTTAAATGTTTGATAAAATTAACCTGTAATGCCATCTAGGTTTAGCATTTTCATCATGTGAAGATTTGAATTTATATAAGTTTCTTTCTTTTAAATAGACATTTTTGTTTGTTTTTCTTTTAGAACATCCAGTTTTTTTAGAGCAGTTTTAGGTTTGGAGCAAAATTGAACAGAAAGCACAGAGTTTATGTACATCCCCTGCCTCTCCCACCAAGCCTCCACTATATGCTCAGCCAATACATTTTGTTTTGTAAAAAACTGTCAGACTTTTTTAGGTGGTTGTGCTATTTTGCATTCTCATTAGTGGTGAATGAGGGTTCTCATTCCTTCATATCCTTGGCAGCATTTAAAGTGTCAATCTTTTGGATTTTGGTGACTCATTTTTAAAAATTGATTTCTGTAATGATACGATATCAAGTGTCTCTTCATGTGCTTGTTTGCCGTGTTGTATATCTTTAATGAGGTGACAAGTCCTTTTGCCTTTTTTTGGGAGGTGGGGGTACCAGGGATTGAACCCACTGGTGCTTAACCACTGAGCCACATTCCCTGTCTTTTTTTTATGTTTTATTTTTTAATTTTAATTTTTTTTAGTTCTAGATAGACACAATACCTTTATTTTGTTTGTTTATTTTTATATGGTACTGAGGATTGAACCCAGTGCCTCACATGTGTGAGGCAAGCGCTCTACCTCTGAGCCACAACCCCAACCCCTTTTTTAATGTTTTATTTTGAGACAGGTCTCACTAAGTTGCTTAGGGCCTACTAAGTTGCTGAAGCTGGTCTTGAACTTGCAGTCCTCCTATGTCAGCCTCCCCAGTCACTAAGATTTCAGTTGTGTTCTACCATGGCCAACTTTTGCCCATTTTTAAATTGGGTTCTTGGTATATTTTAGATCATAGTTGTTTTTTTAAAAATCTTTATTTTTTAGTTGTAGTTGGACTCAAGATATTTATTTATTTGTTTGTTTGTTTTAATGTGGTGCTCAGGCTTGAACCCAGGGCCTTGCACATGCTAGGCGAGTGCTTTACTGCTGAGCTATAACCCCAGCTCTAGATAACAGTTCTTTATCAGATATTTCTTTCTCAAATGCTTTGTCTCAGCCTGTGGCTTGTCATATTCTCTTGGCCAATTCAGTTTCTAAAACAGATACAGAGCTATCCAAAGGTTCTAATTCTGTGTCAATTTTGATAACATAATGTCTTTCAGAGACATTATCACCAAGCAACATCCCATTTTGTCTAAGTTGTTAAATTATTGGTACCTTTTAAAATTTCTTGCTGTACCTTTGTTCATTCCTGATATTGGTCATATTACCTTTTTTCTTTTTTTTTTAAATTATTTTTATTTTTTTAGTTTTCGGCGGACACAACATCATTGTTTGTATGTGGTGCTGAGGATCGAACCCGGGCCGCACGCATGCCAGGCAAGCGCGCTACCGCTTGAGCCACATCCCCAGCCCCTTTTTTCTTGATTAAAAACTTTTGTTAATAACTTTCAAAGAGTTAATATTGTTTCTTGTTTCACTGAATCTTCTTTATTTCCTTTCTATTAATTTTGGGTTGATGTGTAATTTTTTTCCCCTAAACTTCTTAAGATGGAAGCTTAGATCATTGACTTTAAATTTATTTTCTTTAATTAAAACTTTTAACTGATATGTAAAAGCATAAAAATTATACATATCACCAGGCATGGTGGTGTCTGACTATAATCCTAGTTTCTAGGGAGGCTGAGGCAGAAGGTTCATAAGTTTGAGGCTAGCCTGGGCAACTTAGCGAGACCCTATCTCAAAATCAAATTTAAAAAGGGATGGGGTATAACTTGGTGGTAGAACATTTGCCTGGCATGCATGAATTCCCAGGACCACAAAAAAATATAATTTTACATATTTATATGGAGTACCAAGTAATGTTTGGATAAACATATCTATCTTCTTAAACATTTGTAATTTCTTTATGGTGAAAATATTCAAAATCTTTCCTTTTTGGGGGGAGGGGTAATAGGGCTTGAACCCTGGTGCTTTATCACCAAGCAACATCCCCAGTCCTTTTTATTTTTAATTTTGAGACAGGTCTTGCTAAATTGCTGAGACTGGCCTCCAATTGGTGATCCTTCTGCTTCAACCTCTCCTGAGTCTCTGGGATTACAGGTGTGTGCCATTGCACCTGGCTCAGAATCTTTCTTTTCTAAAAGAAACATTTAAAACTATAAATTCTCCTTTTAAGCACATTTCACAAATGTTGGTATGTTGTGTTTTTGTTATCATTGTGTTCAAACTATTTTCTAACTTTTAATTTCTTTCTTGACTTATAGTTTATTTAGGAACATCTTACCTAATTTCTAAATATTTGGGCATATTCTAAATATTTTGTTATTATGAATTTCAAATTTAATTTTGTTGTGGACAGAATACACTCTGTGGTTTCAATCCTTTGAAATTTATTGGTACTTGTTGAAGGCCCACCATTTGTTGATGAACTTGTGGACTATAAGACAGTATATATATTCTGCCAGGCGCAATGGTCCACACCTATGTTCCCAGTGACTCAGGAGGCTGAGGCAGGAGGATCCTAAGTTCAAAGCCAGCATCAGCAACTTTGTGAAACCCTCTCTCAAAAAGGGCCGGGGATGTGACTCAGTGGTTAAGCACTCCTGGATTCAAATCCCTGGTACCAAAAAAAAAAAAAAAAAAAGTATATTTTGTAGTTATTAGATGTAGTGTTCTATGGTGCCTTCAGTTGGGTTTTTCTGGAGTTCAGAATTTATAACTAGAATTATTTCCAGACAACATATTCTCTTTGAAATCATTTTGATGAAAGATTTGTTAGAATATAATTAAATGATATATAAGTCTATAAAACATAATGTAAACAATAAAGTAATTTGTATGATTTGATATCTGGTCACTATCTAATGTATGCACTTTAAAGCAATTATATCTTTGTATACATTAATACTGCTTATTAATATGCATATTCCTGGAAAAATTTTGAAAATTTTTTTGTTTTATTATCTCAGTTAAGGATGTGACAGAATATGTCTTAATAATTGTTGAATTTAATTGAAAATGTCTATTCTTCAGGGTGTACTGAATGGTTTCTTCTCTTTACAGTGGTATCACATCTAAAACATGGCTACGGATTGGCTGGGCAGTATTGTGTCCATCAATTGTGGAGATAGCTTGGGTGTCTATCAGGGAAGAGTATCAGCAGTGGATCAGGTCAGCCAGACCATTTCTCTCACCCGGCCTTTCCACAATGGAGTGAAGTGTCTTGTGCCAGAAGTCACCTTCAGGTGAGGATCTTGACTTCTTCCAAATCCAGCCTGGTGATGCATGGTGCTTGATTGCCAGTGTTCTTTTGGATGGGACTGCTTTTGAGTAGAGTCTTGTCAGGTGTGAGATTTTGCAGTCTTAGGTCTTACAGTCTAGCTGCTGTTCTCAGCAGAGCCTTTGTGTTGTAATTAGCTTTCAGATAATAATTCAGGGTTTATGAATCTTGTTTCTTATCTCTGTCAAGCACACAATCTTTATATTATTTAAATTCAGCATAACTTTTTTTTTCTTTTATGGTTTCAGGTTTCCTTTCTCAATTTTGTATTATTTATGCTTTCTCATGTTGAGGGTCCTGATTAATTTTTCTCCTACATAAATGTTTCTTTTTGTAAATTTGTATTATAATTTATCCCCAGAAGCAGTAGCTAAAGTCCTTAGTTTCAGAAAAGTCCTTTTCTGTTATTTGCCAACAAGTCTCAGGTTCATTGTGTCTTCATGTACATCTTTTCACCAGTTGGTAACACTTCCCATTCTTGTACCAAAAAAAAAAAATAAATAAAAATAAAAAGTTGAAGGCCGTCAGGCAAGAGTTCCTTCCTTGATTTTCTGAATAGTTCCTTAATTCTCTCTCTACACATACTCACATATAACCTTTTTCTATGGCTATATCCATTCTTAATGCTTACATCCACACTAAAAATGCAGACTTGTAAGGGGTAGCCATTTGTTGTTGATTTCATTTTCATTCATGTTATCACTATTATAATTTTAAAACTAGGACTCTTTTATGTATTTCAGGGCAGGTGATATAACAGAATTAAAAATTCTGGAGATACCAGGTCCTGGAGATAACCAGCATTTTGGAGACCTTCATCAGACAGAATTAGGTCCCTCTGGTATTGGCTGCCAAGTAGGTATCAATCACAATGGCATGGGCAAGTTGGTCAAGAAGCCAGTCTCTTCCAGCAGTGCCCCTCAGAACATCCCTAAGAGGACAGATGTGAAGAGCCAAGATGTGACCATTTCTCCCCAGCAGCAGCAGTGCTCAAAGAGCTATGTGGATAGGCACATGGAATCCCTGAGTCAGTCCAAAAGTTTCCGTCGGCGGCACAACTCCTGTAAGTAGGGTCATGTTGCTATTTCTTTTTAACTTAATATTTCAAGACTGTAAGCTCTTATCTACTGCTGCTTTTTAAATAAGTCCTTTATTACTCTAATAAAAAAAGGATGGCTCAGTGGTAGAGCACTCACCTCGAATGTGCGAGGCCCTGGGTTCAATCCTCAGCGCCACATAAAAATAAATAAATAAAATAAAGGTATTGTATCCAACTACAACTAAAAAATAAATATTTTTTAAAAAAGGATGTGATAGAGCTTAATAAATATATAACATGGGTCTCTCATTTTGGGTCTGATTCCTCAAAATGTCAAGGGCAAGGAAGTGAGCTGTTACAGATGCATTCAAGCTTCCTACCCACTCCCATCCTTCCTTCAGGGAAAGTCAGGGATCTATTCAGAGTTCATTTAGACTGTGATGTTGTTTTAAATATGACACCTGATGATGGTAAGTGACATCTGAATTGAACCTGCACTTGGGCTGTTCTAGGGGATTCTTGAGTGGCTTTTTCTTCTTGTTTCTTGGCTCCGATCCTCAATTAAAGGAGAGGTGGGAATTGGTGTAGACCTCTCTGATCTTTCATTTTCTGACTTAGGTTTGTTGTATTTACTCTCCTTCCTAGAACATCAAGGAGAACATGCACTTGTGCATATTGCTTCCCAATTTTGTTTGGTAATAATGGATTATTGAATGCCATTTGTTGATTTTAGAATGAGAGTTAATTCCCTAGAAGCTGCTATGCTTTTTATTATATTCACTAGAGTAATGTGGTAACAGTGAATCATAACAGATTCACTTGTATCTGCTAGGTCCTTAAATGAATATTAATGTTCTTTTAAAAGATTATTTCTTGGGCCTGAGGTTGTGGCTCAGTGGTGGATCGCTTGCCTAACGTGTAAGGCCTTGATTTTGATCCTCAGTACCACATAAAAATAAATAAATAAAAATAAAGGTATTATGTCCAACTACAGCTAAAAAAAAATTTTAAAAAGATTATTTCTAGATTACAAAATATTCTAAATATTACTTATTAGTTTTATACTCAGAAATAGTGGCAAGATATACTAGGAATTTTAAATGAGTATTACCTAATTCATATAAAGTTACAAGCTAGAGTCATACCTTGGCAATACCTTCTAAAAGATAGTTTAAAGTGAGCTAGGTCTCTCTGGAACCCACATGTAAGAAGTTGTTCTAGATGCTTCTTGTTGCTTTTATTGCTCCTGAACTGTGGTCCCCAGGTCTTAGTGTGCTATGTAAATACTAGTCATTTCCTTTTTTTCCCCCTCAAGCTCATTTCATCTCATATCACCTCCCCAACCCCCCACCCTACCACCACCAGTGTATGCTCTTCTTCCCCAGCCAGTGCTGGGGACTAAACCTAGGGGCACTCTACCACTGAGCTACATTTTCAGTCCTTTTTTTTAATTTTGAGAAGAGGTCTCACTCAGTCACCTAAGCTGGCCTCAAACTTGCAATCCTCCTGTCAAAGTGACTTCTTTAAGTGCCTGGGAAACAACTATCTGAATTGATGATTGAAGTTCAGTTGTTACTTCTTCTGAATGCTTGGATAGGAAATGACCCATTCCACATAGATTTTAGCCTCTTCTGAAAAAAAACCTCTTTTTAAAAAAAATTTTAACCAAAAATATTGATTTGTTAATAGTTCAAATATTCTAACAATTTATAATTTTTCCCTGTGCATTTATTTTTCTTGCATACTTATTTAATATCTTAGAGTAAGTGTGGTATATTTGTTATAATTAATGAATCAATATTGATACATTATTATTAAGTAAAGTTCGTATTTTATTAGATTGCCTTAGTTTGTATCTGATGTCCTTATACCTGAATCCCATCTAGCATACCACTTCACATTTAGTAGTCACAACTTCTCTGGGCTGTGATAGTTTCTAAGACTTAACTTTATTTATTTGGTGTTGGGGGTTGAACCCAGAGGTGCTCAACCTCTGAATCACATCCCTAGCCCTTTTTAAAATTTTATTTAGAGACAGGGTCTTGCTGAGTTGCTTAGGGCCTCACTAAGTTGCTGAGGCTGGCTTTGAACTTGTGATCCTCCTGTCTCAGCCTCCCAAGCCACTGGTATCACAGGCGTGTGCCATCCAGCCCAGCAAGGCTTATCTTATATTTCCTGTCCTATCCCTGAAATCAGTCATGTCAACAAGGAGTCCTGTCTCCTTTTAATGTAGAATGGTATTAGCTACCAATATCTAGGCATAGATGTTCTCACTGCTACTGAGTGTTGTCCTTATAGCTTATGGCAAGGACATATACATATGTATGTTTAGCTAGTATATATATTTATGATATATAAATATTTCTGTTTATAACTATATATACTATATTGTGCTAAGTGAGTCCATACTATGTCTTCAACTTTAATCCATTATCACATTGATCATTCTAACCTCTTTTTGCTGTAACCTCCCACTGCAAAAGTGAGAAACTTGTCTCCTACCATCTGTCATTCATTTATTCAATTTCAGTATATATGTATAGTGGTACACATTGAGTATCCCTAATATGAAAATCCAAAATCCAAAGTACTCCAGAATCTGAAACTTGAGCAACTGACATGATGTCTCATTGGAAAATTGCATACCCGTTCTGACAATGCAAAAGCACTGAAAATACTATAGACTATGTTTGTAAGGTGTATATAAAGCATAAATGAATTTCATGTTTAGAATTGGGTCCTATCTCCAAGATATTTTATTATGTATATTCAGATATTTCAAAATTCCTGAAATCCAAGACTTCTGTTCCTGTGCATTTCAAATAAGGGTACTCAACCCTGTATCAGAATTGTTAACTTTACCTCTTACCTATGTGGGAAACTGTCAAATACAGTGTTTTTTTTAGAGTCTCTTTGCCTTTCATCTTAGACTGTATATTTATAGAGTTACTTAGGTTTCTTACCCAATTCATTGATTTTTTTTCTCTGTTTTCATAATACAGTTAGATTATCACATTCTGCTTTCCAGCCTGGGATTTCTCCATCCTCCTGAATTAATTCTTAAATTTGCATATATTAAGTCTCGAGAATGAGAAGAAGTTCTATGGGTTGTATGCTATGAAGTTCTGTGGGTTTTGACAAATATACAGTCATGTATCTGTCATTAAAATATCATACAGAATAGTTACACTAGAACAGTCTCCTGTGCTTTACCTATTCAGTTCTCTGGGTCTTTTCACCCGACTTAACCCTGGCAACTATTGATCTTTTTTTAACATCTCTACAGTTTTTGTTTTCTACAGTGGCACATAATTAAAATCATTTTATATATATATATATATATATATATATATATATATATATATATATGCCTTTTCAGACTGGCTTCAAACTTAGCAATATGCATTTAAATGTCATTCATATCTTTTGTGGCTTGATAGCTCATTTGTTTTTATTATTGAATAATATTGCACTGTATGGATATGTCAACATTTGTTTATCCAACTATATTGAAGGACTTCTTGATTGCTTCAGGCTTTTGATGGTTGTGAATAAAGCTGCTGTAAACATTTGTGTGCAAGTTTTTGTGACATAGATTTCATTTCAGTATAATTAAATACCTAGGAGAGCAATAGCTGATTTATAATAAGAATTTTTGCTTGACCGCCCCCGCCCCCCTGCATTACTAACGTTTGTACCAACTCACTTGAAAGAATGCATTTAGCTTCAAAACAGTAATTTATTTGACCTTTAACAAGTCCCTTTGTTACATAAATAAGTGGAGTCACTCTGAAGAGCATACTGTAGGTGATGCTTATTCTGTTTTTGCTGTTTAGTCAATTCTTTTTTTCTAGATTAACTGCACCTACTAAGGTAAGGAGATCATGAGGCAGTAAATGTTACTCTCTTTCAGGGAACTTTATTAGAATCTAGATTAGTACAGAAAATGTCTGATCTTGGACGTTAATGATGAGAGGTGGCTCAGAATTGGTTTCTGGTAGAAAATAAAGTTCCATTCCTTTTTGTTATTGTTATAGAAAATAAGTTTTAAAAATCCTTAATTTTTTATTTTTATGTGGTTCTGAGGATTGAACCTAGTGCCTCACATGTGCTAGGCAATTGTTCTACCTCTGAGCTATGACCCCAACCCCTTTTTTATCCATTCCTTGAGCCTATGAGTAGAAAATCTGTCTTAGGATTTTCTTCAGTATATATTGATGTTGAGAGTAGTAGTTTGATGAAACTATAGGAATGTAATCTCTTCAATTCTGACTTTTTAAGTGTTTTTTAAAGGTTAGCATTGAGTTGTTGAGGAATTTGTTCTAGTTACCTAATTCCACGCAGAATTCACTGATGAGAAACTTAGCACAAGCAGACTTTAATCTCTTTCCTCAGGTTGGTGGTGGGGGTGAATAATTTCTATGAACCCAATTTCTGTGAACAGAATACTTATGAAATGAAGGGATGGAGGGCCAGGTGCAGTGATGTACGCATATAATCCCAGAGGCTCAGGAGGCAGAGGCAGGAGGATTGGGAGTTCAAAGCCAGCCTCAGCAATTTATCGAGGCACTAGGCAACTCAGTGAGACCTTCTCTCTAATAAAATACAAAATAGGGCTAGGGATGTGGCTCAGTGGTTGAATGCCCCTGAATTTAATCCTTGGTACCCCCACAACTCCCCCCCGCCAAAAAAAAATGGAGGGATGGAATATCAGTGGATAGAAACTACTTAAGGCTTGAGGATTTAGGTCTGTGTGTGGATGCAAATCATGTTTGTCGAATTCCATCTCATAGCTAAAAATGATAACCATTAATGGCAGATGAAAGGCAACCCTTTCTGAAATTTCAGTTTGTGAAATTGTCGTTGGCTATGTGCAGTTGTATAAAAATTTAATGGCTGAGTTAAGGCTCTTAGGCCTGAAGAATATGAAAGTAGATAGCTTAGCCTTTAGCTCATTTGCACATAGGAAGAGATAGTTACATTTCCCTTTCTTTTACCCCTTCCGGGTATAGAGAATTTAAGAA